GGGGGGCTGGGTGGGGGAAGGGGGGGGGGGGGGTGAAGGGGCCAAAGCTTGCGGTAGGAAGGGGCATGGGGAGAAGAGGGGCCTGGGCTGGCGTGGCAGAGGAGTGGGGGAAAGGAGAAGGGGAGCCCAGACTGGGGGTGGGAGAAAGGGCCCCATCTGGTGCAGCAGGGGGAGGAGGGGCCTGGGCTTGTGCAGCAGGGGAGGGAGGAAGAGCCTGGGCTGGCACAACTGCAGTCTGGCTGTGGTGGAGGAGTCCTGGGGTTGCCCCCGGTAAGGGGGGGTTGGTGAGCATAGCGAGCACGTGGCACAGCCCCTTAGTAACTTAGTATTATTGATAATTGACATGATTAGTAATAGCATAAATGAAACATTGTACTCGAGACTATTGAATGGCACTTCTGCTGCTGCATCTTTTTGCACATTTCTTTGAAGTTTACGTCGTAACTGGTCAAATCCAACTTCATGCACACATTCAGGGTGTCTGTCAATCTTATGGCAGGGGGATGAGGATGTGAGGGTGCAGAAGCCTGGGTTGGGGTGTATGAGGGGCTCAGGGCAGGGGGTTGGGATGTGTGGGAGGTGCAAGAGGTTAGGCAGGGGGCTGAGGAATACAGTATGTAGGGGAAATTGGGCCCCTAGCACTGGATTACCTGACCTGGCTGGGGTGGGCTGCTGCACCCTGATGGGCTGGTTTAGGATCACCACAGCCAGATTGCGGCCTCTCCTCCTACTTAAAATGCAGCAGGGGGGCCACTGCCAGTCCTTCCTGTGGCTACATGGGGATTGGGCCCCAATTGAGGCCTTGTTGGGTAGGCTGCCGTGGCTGGAGTCTAAATCAGGCCACTGCAGCTGGGCTGTTGCAGCAGTCGCTGGGCCAAGAGCACAGTGGCTGGGGACAGACCGCAGCAGTCAGATGTAGGCATCTCACTATCAGAACTGAGAACATGCATGCATCCCCTACAGTGCACCCTCAGCTGGCTCTTTAAACGAGCAGAGTGCCTCAGTTAGCTCTTGCTGCAACATTCTTACTGGGATGCACCACCTTACTTTCACCTCTGGTTAAAGGTGAACTAAACAAAAGAAAGGACTATCTTGACTTGAGTAATCATGTGTTTTTAAAATTTTGAATTTTTCACTTTAAGTTGTATATATTTTGGAAATGACGAAAAAGCCATAGGCTGTTGATTTCTGATCTAGACTATCACTAACAGGAGTTTGTCTAAACTATTCCAATGGTTAGCCACCCTGTCAGATGCTACCCTGTCAAAGAAAGCTTTGAGATTGTTTTGATACAATTTTTCTTGGCAAATCTGTTATTTCTTATTACTATCTAGATGTTGGCAAATGGATTCTGCAATTATTATCCATTATCTTTCTTGGTTCAGAAGTTAAGCTGTCTGTCATTTCCTAGGTTGTCTTTATTTTGCTTTTAATAGATGGGCACTATATTTACACTCTTCTGGGCTCTCTCCCGTCTTCTGTGACTTTTCAAAGATAGTAGCTAGTGGCTCATATCTCCTCAGTGAGTTCATAATGTATTACTGGCATTCGTTATGTGAGGTGTCCATACCCCATTTTCACTGGCATTCGTTATGTGAGGTGTCCATACCCCATTTTCACTGGCATTCGTTATGTGAGGTGTCCATACCCCATTTTCACTGGCATTCGTTATGTGAGGTGTCCATACCCCATTTTCACTGGCATTCGTTATGTGAGGTGTCCAATCTTCTATGTGAGTCTTTACCAACAACCTTCTTGGTAAAAACTGAAACAAGTCATTAGGCAACCTCTGCCATTTATGCGTTTTGAAATCCATTGTATTTATTTGCTGTTCTTCCTCCTACCATTTCTTAGAATCACAAGCACTACCATTTTATGATCACTTTCACCCAATCTGCCTTCCACTTTCAAATTCTCAACGAGTTCCTTTCTAATTTGCCAAAAATCAAATCTAGACCAGCCTCTCCCCAGTAGCTTTTTCCACCTTCTGAAATAAAAAAAAAAATTGCCTCCAATACATTCTAAGAACTTGTTGGATAATCTGCCTTGCTGTTATTTTTTCAACAGATATCTGGATAGTTGGAATCCCCCATCATCACAAAGTCCTTTACTTTGGATGATTATTTTGTTTAAAAAACAAAACAAAACAAACCCTCATCCACCTCTTCTTCCTGGTTTGGTGATCTGTAGTAGACTCCTACTATGAAATCACCCTTTCAACAAGTCTGTTTCTATTTGAACCAAAATTCAAGTGTATACATTTTTAGTACATAAGGAAACACCTTCTCTCTTTTTTCCCCGTCTGCACTTCCTGAGCAAGCTGTACCCTTCTATACCAGTTTTCCAGTTGCTGGGAAGCCAATTGTCATAGATACTAACATTTTGCATTCTTCCTGCTTATTCCCCATACTTTTCACATTAATACAGAGATATCTAAGACGCTGATTTGATTTCTTCCACCTCATTCTGTCTTGTCTCTTCTTTATCCCATGCTCCAATTCAGACCCTTCTTCTAAGTTTCTATGTTTTTGACATACCTATGGGTTTTGATCATTTCCCCTTTATGAACCTAGTTTAAAGCCCTCCCTCACTAGGTTAGCCATTCTGTATCCAAATATGCACTTCCCCTTCCTAACCAGAGTGATTAGTGTTTACATGTTTTCTAATGTATACAACATGAATGTTTTTCTCGAGCATGTCATTAGTATGTTGAAATGGAAGTTCGTGTGTATGTGTGGGGGAGTGCCCATACCTCAGCTTTTGTTATACATAAAGGTGTACTCCATCAGTTATGTAAATGTTCGAGTTCAGACAACACACATCTCATGGTTCTGTGTCTGAAATCAACTGGCCTTGTCTGCATGCCTTTAGTTAACCTAACACATGCACTGACCTCCTCAGCAATGTTCTAGTCAGAGCCCTTTATAGTACACTTTACTAAGTACAAATAGTGTGTACTTGAAGAATGGATAAGCTACTTTAACTAAACTGAGATTATATTAGACCAAGACAAATTGTGACAGCTGTTAACTAGAAAAAAAAATAATTGTGTATCTTGGATAGAATTCTACCTGGCATTTGGTTAACGCTTGCTTTCATAGGCCTAGCTTTGTTTTTGTGCATTAATGGTAAATACACTTATAGACAATTGCTTTTTTTTCCCTTCGTCTTTTTAAGGACAAAGATGTTGCAAGACTTCAGGATTTTCAAGAACTGGAGCTGGTTCTAGTGAAAAATGACAATTCTCCTTTTAGACATGCTGCATCAACACTGATGGAGAGGTCTTGCTACAATAGTAAAGCATCAAAGCTGACTTACTGAGCTTTCTAGAATGAGCGAAATTAATTACATACTGCTGTTTTTTGAAGCAGTGGATTAATTATGTATAAAACCTTAAGTTGTTAGGGTTAATATTTTAACTAATAACAGTATATCTTTGATATTCACTATCCCCTTTGCTTTTTCTTACTATTGTATTCAGGTAAGCAGGGCTCGACAAATCCGTTTATCTACTCGCCCATGGCGAGTAGATTTCAGCCGGTCGCCCTGTTTACCGGCAGTGCGCACATGCGCAGTGCGGGTCTGACACATATGCAATGCAGGGCTGGCGAGTGGATTTCACCACAGTATGTCGAGCCCTGCAGATAAGGGTACCTCATGTCTATTAAACTGACATACTTCATATACAAGTCAATTAAGTTTATTGGATGCATTTAGCATTAGAAGACAGCTGGCATGAAAAGTAAAGTTTCCGTATCTCTCTCCTCCCCCATTAAAGTGTCCAGGAAAAATCAGGTATAGTTAGAGATTTTTTTTTTTTGCATAAATTCTAAATTTGGGCTTCCATGGCATGTGGCAAAACTATTGGTCCCTGAATTTTTCAGACTCTGCAGAGTGCTGTTTCTCTGCCATCACAAAAACTTTTAAATGAAGTGATGAAGATTTAAGGGTTTGTATTATACTAAGAATTTGGTTTTGTACTGCTTTTTCATTCCTCATACTATCTCATTTCGTACTTAGTACCTGGCTCATCGGGTCTTTTATGACTACCTACCCTAAGTGTAAAGTAGTATGCTTCTAGAGTAGTGATATTTACTGCTCAAAGCAATCTGCAGAAATCCCCCGACAAGCCAACCATATAGGGAAAGTCTGCTAAAATCAGATTCCCAGATGTCACACTGCCATTGATGTCCACTAAACACCTCCATTTCTCTTCCCCAAATTGTGACAACTGAACAATGTAGGGATAACTTAATATTTTGCTCTTTAAAATGTTTTTAAAAAAGTAAGTCTTAGCTACATTTCATTAGATCATCAAAATACAAATAACATATGTGGTAGTATTTAAAAGGAAACTACCAAGTTTGACTAGTCAAATTTGTGTGTGGATGTTATTCTTTTAAAAGACTATATACTTATACAGTAATTCACTCCAACACTTGTCCACTTGGCAAACAATTATTCCCTAGTTAATTAAAAATTCTTCTAGTAAAAAGCCTTATTGAGGCTAATAGTTCTGGGAAGCTGGGTTAAATTCAGCTGCCCGTGCAGCAGGAGCACTAGAAAATATTTGTTGTGGAGAAGTGAAAGTATCTGAACTCTAGAGAAGACAGTTTGCTCTTTCTTACCCAAACTCAATTAAGGGAACATGTGAATGAAAACAGAGGCATCATCAAAAGTCATTAACATTTGCACCTGCAGCTGTTTTAAACTGATTCTGTATGACAGTCTTCCCACAACTGTTGCATTATGTGCTTGTGTCACAAAGTGTCAGAAGCTTCAGCCAATTGATTAACCCAGATAGCTTAGTGTTCTTGAATGCTTAACAGAAATGTTAAAAACTTGAATACAAGCTACTTTTGTTCTTAAAAAAACTGATAGCTTAACCATCCATAGGCTTATCCTGAACAGTGTTAATGTAAAACATGTACAGGTTGAAAAACTCTTAACCTGGATTCTCTGGTCCAGCAACTTCCATGGTCCAGCATGGATGTTGCAGGACCAGAGAGAGTCCTGGTGGAGGGCCAGCAGGAAAAGATCCCTGTGGGGCAGGCAGGACAGTGGGCTACCTACAGAAAGCTGATAGCAGGGCCACCCAGCAGGTGGCAGTGGGGCTGGGAGCCCTGGCACACAGAGCTGCTCACCAAGCCGCAGCATATGGAGCGGTCCAGAGTCCCAGCGCAGTGCACACAGCTGCCTGGAGCCCCAGCGCAGGGCAGCAGGGCCAGTAGAAGGCAGGGAGCTGGCTGGGAAGCCAGCAGCCAGTGGTAGGGGTACAAATATGGCCTCCCCTAGTCCAGCAAAATCCCTTATCTGGGACCAGGGATGTCAAAACTATCAGATTTGCTATCAAATACCATATTTAAAGTATTGTTTCCCCAAGCAGACTGAGGATATTGGACTTTTGTTGCTAGAAGCAGTGATCTCCACTATTGATCAAAATAGTCTGATGAAAGTTGTGGGTTATATGGAGAAACTAGAAGTGGCAACTTCAGGCTCACTAGGAAATCTGGCCTCTCTTACCACTTACATAGACACCTCCTACAAGTGTCTTTCAATTAAAAACAATCTATTTTATAAGAATGCTAATTGATTCCATTTCTTTATTAAATTATACTAGAACAGCTGCCTTTAACTAGCTTCTCCCTGCTCTATAACCCCACAAAAAACTTGTTTTATTAAAATCACATCTACAATCATAGGGATTTATGTGGATTAAAGTATATATTGGAAATGATTTAGCATAATACACTGCATTGGGGATAGCGTCCACTTGCAGTAGCTGCTGCACTTTTTCAACATCATGTGTTCACATGCCATACAGTGGCAGCACACTGATTTATGTTAAGTTGAAAATTCTGAATTTGACAATAGTAGACTGTAGCAAGTTTTTTGCCAAGTGATAAAATCCAAAACCTATAGAGGAGTTAAAATTCCTATCACTTTTCCATTGATCACTGCGATTTTACTTAACTAGTTCAAAATTGATTACTGTATTCTGGATCCTTTCCCAGCCCTTCATTCTACAACTAACATATCACTGACACTCCACCAATGAAAACCTCTATCAATGTGTCTCCCTGGTCTACTGTCCCCAGTTTAACAGTGCTCAAACATGTGTAAGGCCCGATTCAATGGCTACTCATTGGCTGTGTCTTCCCCCACCCAGCACACCTGCCATTGTAGTTCAGAGGTTATTTTAAGATATGTGCTATAAATGAAAAGCTAAGTAGCTCAACATTAAGGGTATTTGCAGTTAGTTTTGCAGAGCCTGTGGTTAAGGTATGTAGGAAATTGTCATAGTTACATAAACAATGTAAACAATTGTGCAGTAATTAATGGAAGCAATTCTATTTTTAAAAAGATTTACACACCTGCCATTGTAGTTCAGAGGTTATTTTAAGATATGTGCTATAAATGAAAAGCTAAGTAGCTCAACATTAAGGGTATTTGCAGTTAGTTTTGCAGAGCCTGTGGTTAAGGTATGTAGGAAATTGTCATAGTTACATAAACAATGTAAACAATTGTGCAGTAATTAATGGAAGCAATTCTATTTTTAAAAAGATTTATTTACTCTAGTTCACAACAACTTGATATGCAACCTTTGCTAAAACACTACTGACTTTAAAATGGTGCTGATAACTGAGCAGTCAAATATTTTTGTATGTTGTACGAAGTTTGATAAAATGCAATGCACACTATTACTGGTGAATTTATTTCTGTCCACTGAATAATGGACTGTGAGTGTGAAAAGAAGCTAAACTTCTTCCAGGGACTTTATTTTCAATACCAAATGCCTATAGTTGTATCTCAACAGATGAGGAAAGAGGTTTGTGCATGTTTACAAATCCAAGCAATTTGTCTTTCAGCTAGTCAAACAGCAGCTGACACTGGCAGAGTTTCTATAAGGTCAGGTTTGTGCCCAGTGGAGATTGCTAAACAAGTGACATTTGCCTTTGTACAAGAACACAATGCTACTGTAGAAAAGGGGTCAGGAAGCAGCAAATAAGCTGCTAACAGAACTGATAGTAAAAGCTTAAAAAATAGGATTAAAAAGGCTAAGTAGCTCACATCTGCCTCCAGGCCCTAAGAATAGCTATACTGGGTCAGACTCTCTAGCCTGGTGGCCAATACCAGGTACTTCCAAGAGAATGAACAGATCAGGCATTCCTTGTGTGATCTGGCCTCAGGGGTGAGGGACCTGACCATTTTGGCTCAGATTGGTCCATGAACTTACCTAGTTCTTTTAGTGTTCACAAAATCCTGTGGCCATGGATTCCACTGTATGAAGAGGTATGTCCTTTGAAACCTGCTACTTAGTAATGTCATTGGGTCACACTCCTAGTCATGTTAAACGAATGGGATAAATAATACTTTCTCCACACCTATTATGATTTTATAAACATTCGCCATTCTCTCGTGTCTCACTTTTTAATCTCTCCTCTTGTGGAAGCTGCTTCATGCCTTAATTTTTGTTGCCCCCCCCCTCTACTTTTTCTAATTCCAATGCATTTTTGAGATGGGGGTGACCAAAACTGAAGGCAGTATTCTGGGTTCAAGCATACCATGGACTTTTATAATAGCATTATGCTATTGCCTTATTTATCCCTTTCCTAATGATTCCTAACATCTTAGCTTTTTTTGACTGCCACTGCACACTGAGCAGTTTTCAGAGAACTAGCCACAATGACTTGACAATCTCCTTCTGAAGTGGCTACAAATAAATTAGATCCTTTTTGTATAATTGGGATGATTTCAAACGTGCATTAACAATGAATTTCATCAGCCATTTTATTGCAAAATCACTCATTTTGGAGAGATCCCTTTGTAATTTTTCAGGTTGGTCTTGAGTAATTTTGTATCATCTACAATTTTGTCACCTCACTTTCTAGCTCATTTGTAAGTATGCTGAACACCATTGGTTTCGGTACATATTTTAGGAGGTGGGGGAGTATCAGACTCTATTATGAAAACTTATTTATGCCTGCCCTTTGCTGTCTTTTACTAATCTATGAGTGCACTTACCCGTATCCTATGATTGCTTACTTGGTTTAAGCTTTTGGTGAGGGATCTCAAAGGCTTTCTGAACATCCAACACGGAGGTCTTCCAGGGGACACATCAATTCATCTAGATATTTGCCCAAGTTTTATAACAGGCATTTAAAAAGCGTTAGTTAGGTCAGTACAAACTAAAATCTCATGTAGACAAAAGAAAAATCAGCAATTTTTCACTAACAATATGCTATGATACTTATGTATTTTATGATTTTGTGAGCACGAGTTAGGTGAGGTGAAATGACAAATCTGAAAGAGTATAGTAGCCTGGAAATATTATAAACCACTATGCAAGAGCGCGCCCCCTTCCCCGCATATGTTATGTTCTTTGAGATGAACAAGCTGGTGAATCATAATTTTCCTTTACAAACACCACACTGACTCTTCTGCCCACAAGTTAAAATTAATCTATATCTAATAATTCTATTTGCTATCATTTTATCCCATCTGCCCTGTATTGAAATTAAAGTTAATCATTCTGTAATTGTAGTATCACCTCTGGAGCTCTCTTTTTTTTTTAAATGATATAGCATTAACTATGCTCCAGTCTGCTGATTTAAATGATTACATAGCCACATTCTGAAGTTCTGCAATTTTCTATTTGGGTTCCTTCAGAATTCTTGGAAAGACTATCTTTCTTTGCCTCCTTCCTTCACAGCAACCCATAAAAGCTTTTCAATTAAGGTTTATAACATGCTAATGTAACCCACTACTCCCATTCTGCAACTGAATTGAAAAAAACAACAACCCAGCTTCTGCCTGGGCTCTTTAGAGAGCTGGACCTACAGCATTTGGACCGCCTGTATTGACATTTCTGAATCTAAAATACATGCTGTTACTGAAAAGACAGCTTTATTAATTATGGATTAATTTTTCTTTGAACACGCTGACACTGAAAAGCTACCTCCCGTTTTCAAGGCACATCATGAAACTCAGAAACCAGGCACTCAGCAAACTTTACATAATTTAATTGACATCCTCCAGAACACTGGCATATGAGGTTGCATACTGCAACAGAATTCCTCAACTTTTATAATAGTCCTAAATGAGTTTCTTGTTCTACTCAGAATAATGACCCAATTGTTTTAACTTACCATGTAAAGCTAGTTAACCTGCCTTTTCTTGATGTGTTTTAGATCAAGTTAGCTAGCTCAATTAAATCACAACTTTCAATCTTAGGCAAGACAAACTGAGCTTAGCCAGGGTCTGAGGGGCCAACGTATAGACAAGTTTTGGAGACAAGTCATTTATATCTATGGAAAATTAAATGTGCTAAATGTTACTGTTTAACAGAGGCTATGTGCACTGAATGGGCAAGACAGACTGGAGTGTCATCTCTACAGTTTCAACTATAGTAACCAAAACCTACAGATCACAGAGTGACATTTCCAACTTATGGAAAATTTCCAATTTCCAAGGACAGAGAAAGTCCATTTGACATCAATGCTAAAATAGATAAAGTTTAAATGGCTCTAATTATCACTCCCCCAAATTATTAAATTTTCTGTGTGTCGCTGCACACAACACTGCAATATGTGAAATTCTTTGCCTTTTGAAACAATGTTTACAATAGAAGGCTCACTGATCTATATGTACAAACAGAAATATCGGTATGAAGAGACACTGCTTTAGTAAGATTTGATCCATGGACTCAAAATGCAGTGTACAAATCATATACAATCAGCAATCAGAACTCCACTGTCACCATTTCACCCCTCTGCCAAAAAAAGGGGGGAGAGGGGGAAAGGACTTAACCTAATTTTTGTGTATTCTCCATTTTCAAGAGGAGATGGAATGTGCTTAAAATGGTATAAAACTGCTGAAAGGAAAAGGCACCATATTAACTTCTTCTCTTAAGTCAGAGGTTTTAATAGAAACAACATTTATCATTCCTTCATAATTGGTGTTCAAGTCCAGAATACATACAACACGAAGGAAATGTCTGATATGGCCACAGCCACCTTCTTGTCACTTCATTTTGAAGAATGTAATGCTGCAAAATGATTCCTTTAAAACACATTTTTCAAAAAGTACCCTCATTATTTAATCAGTTAAGCTACTCTTTAATACAATAAGTAGGATCACAAGAAAGCTTGAAGAGAAGAGGGGAAATGAACATATTTACAATTACTTTAATATACATATTACATGCACTTGCTAATTATAACCACTCCCAAATGAAGTATTTAACTATTAGGATGCAAATCTGAAATCAGTGTGGTGCCTTAGACTAGAACAAACATCTGCACCAACATCTCTACTTGACACCGCTCTAAAAACGTAAATACATTCTAGGATTTAACTCCCAATCAGGATGAGAGAAGTAACGATCCCAGCCCGAGTTCCTCATTGATCCTATTCTCTAAGTTAAAGTAAAACAAAACCTAGATTTGTATTCTAAACTTCATTCTTTATTATGAAGGGCTGGCATTATGACTTTGTACATTAAGAGGAAAACTGAAAGACTTCCCAAAAACATTGGATATGAACTTTATTAGAGAGAGAACTGCCGCAGTATCTTTGTTCTGTGAGTCTGACTGCTAAGAAAAATACATTGTGGCAAAAATTATGCCACTTCTGATAATAATGTGCATCTGTTCAATAAAGGACCAGGTGTTTGATGAAGGTGGTCAGCTCAGTTTTAAGACCGTCTGAATAAACTAAACAAAATCCATAAAAGCCAAATTAACGGACTAAGCTTAAAGACGAATAGATTTATTAGGAAAAAAGTGTATTTTAATACTAAATGTTTAATGACAGACAATCAAATTTGTAACAGAAATTCAAAGATACTTTATTTCCATTTCTGGTATATCAAGCAGCTAGATATAGCCTAGTTGTAAAAATGGGATTCAATTTAGTTTAATTCACACAAATACTAAACATTTATTCTTGTGTTTCAAAGTCCAAGAATGAAACCTTGCAAATAAACACTGAGCAAGCCATGGGTTCATGTTACGTTTCTTATCTTAAAAAGTCTTAAAGAAAAAATGATACAGGACTTATATTCTTAGTGGCATGTATGCTATTAACTCATCCCCTCAGCACTCTAGGAGGCAACAGTCCTGATTTAATTAAAAAAAAAAATCTAACTTTATATTTTTCTATGCCACTACAGCTTTCTTTCACCTCATTTTAAAGCAGATCTTCATTGCAAGCTGTCTTCCAGATTCTTCACAGATTCTTCACGTGGTAGTCCTATAATGCAAAATTTTGGGAAAGCAAACAATTAAGACAATATAAAGCAAGATTAGTTTGCCACTTCTAAATATTGGCCCAGTTCTTAGCTGTTGTCTTAACACTACTAAAACCTCATCACTGAAAATTAGAGACTCCAGAAGCAATAATGAAATCTTGCAGTAATGGTCTAATGAAAAGTGTTTAAGAGTTCATAGCATAAATACTGAAACTATACTAATAGTTTATTACATGTAGCTAATTTATCAGCTCTCTTCTCCAATATTAGCTCCTTATTTTAGGAATACATAAAAACCATTATGTACGTATAAGTTAGGCCAAGAATGGAAAAAATGTTTGAAGTTTTTAATATAATATTTATATATCCTAATGTTTAATTTCTTCATAATAATGGGAATTGTCAGCATACATCCTTGACACGTAGTATTAAAAATTGTAGGCATCTGCCTTTGTATTTACATTTGCCTTACAAATCTGGAATCAGCCAATCAGTACTGCTCTGTACTATGGCTGACTGCAAATTCTCCTACACAGTAGGAAATATTAAACACATACCTCTTAAAGACTTGAATTGCATTGAATGTAACAAGGCGATTATTATGTAGTATTTATTGCATTTAAAACTCTTAAAGATATCTAATTCTGGGCAGCACTGCATCCCTACATACAGTTGAAAGAAAATTCCAGTCTGTTAACATCAGATTTATAGTTTCACACAATACACAAAAAATCCTTTTCACTTTCTTGTAAATAAAAACACAACAGTAAGCTTAAAGATTACAGGCAACAGCATTCAAACATGGATGTGGGTAGAGAAAGGAGTACCTGGCATGAGTACCTGCTTAGTTTGACTGAATCCTTGATTTTTAATTTGGCTTTTCATGGGCCGCTCACAACACCAACGCTGTGTGAGGTATGGTAGTCAGCTGCAATAATTCATAAACCCTACACTTCCATCAATCCAATGCTACTGGCTCTCGAGTTACAGAACAAACTGCATTAGAATGCAAGGCAATAAAGCAAAAAACTAGAAACATCCTTGACAAAGAAATACTAGCAGTTTATATAAAAACAAAGTAGTCCAACATGTGCCTCAGAAATATTAAGTATTAAAGCAAATGTTTCTGCTGATGTACCAACACAATATGGACTTAAATACAAAAACAGTTCAATTTTTTTTAAAAAAAACCGACAAAATCCCTAAAAATTAAAAAAAGGGAGAATTAAATTTTCTATGGAGACTATATTACAAATATGTTCCAAAGAGGCACACTAATGGGGGCATGAGTCTGCTACAAAATAGCTGAGACAAAACAATGTACCTCAAAATGTTTTGCAGGACTACACTGTCTTTTCCTTCAGAAGGTGCCTTAGTATGTCTTCTTAGTTGGCTTAGTTCCATCTTCATCTGTGCATACTTACGCTGCACTGTCAAACAGTAACAAAAAGCCCTAATCAAAGTTTGAAATAATGCACTTACCTCTGTCTGATCTGAGGTCATATCAGATCAGTTTTAATTGGACTGAGTGTCACCTTCAGATTTAATGTCTTCATTGGTCCCATTGACCTCATTCTTAGTATCACTGTCCTTCGAGTCTGTATTTCTGTCTTCACTCTGTTTTTCTCGACTACTGGACTTCATACTACTTTTTTTATCATCAGATGCCCTCTTTTCTGCCATGAAAGAAGACATTAACCATGGATTTCAAAGTAAAATACGTTGCATTTATGAGGAGTGGGACAGAGGTGGAGCAATCACAACTGGAACAGTAACAAAGTCACAGGCTTTAGAATAACACATTGAAGAGGGCAAAACAACAAGAAGCAAAATTGAAAGTGGTGAAAAGGTGGAAGGACAGCATAATAGTAGTGTAAACTTTGGTAATAAAGAGTCAGTGACATGTGGATGTACTTCATGACTGCTTGGCTTCCTTAACACTGGATTCAGTGTTATTCTCTGAATAGTTTGAGAGAGAGAGGGCGGAGGGTGGCTACACATCTGTTATTAAACTTGGTTCTTGAAAAGAAAACCAAAAAAGAATGAAGAGATAGACTGACTAGTAATGTCATCTTATTACCCATGGTTACAGAGAGAAGAAAATAAATGTACATCTAGGAAAAACAAGCAACCATAACTAACTATGCTTAAAATAAGGCTCATAGGGAATACCAGAGTCAACTTCAACAGGACAAAATATAACGGTGCTTGTCTGAAGTATGTTATTAATCCCTCACCTTTAAATGATAAAAGACTGGGAAAGAATGACTGCTAGAGATAAAGGCACTATTTTACAAAACAAGTAAGCTACTGATGGATGGGACCCCAGTTTCTTCAAGAACGGAGAGGGTGAATGATAAAGAACAGACTATATTGTTGAAAACCTGACAAATATAACAGAAACAGCAAAGTAATCACATTTACAACTGCAAGTTAAAAATCTGTAAATAAAACACTAGTTTATCCTATATCACTTCACCTACTGGGAAGAAGGTTAGCCCTGTGGTTTGAAGCCTGACAAAAACACTAATACTCTTGTAAATCAGTATACAGAGAAGAACACTGACTGTCCCTCAGATGGATTAGCATGCAAGTAGCTGAGAACCAAATACATAAAATAAGTTAAAAACTTCCATGAAAGCTATCTACAAGATAGAACATCTGAACTGGCATAGCAAATCTACATTTTAAAGGACAGAAGGGAAAAAGTTAAGTTTCAAGAGAAGTAGTATATCTACACACAGAAAGTTTGCACAACTGTTTTATTAGGACAGACCACCAAACCACAAGAAAAAAACACAGCCAAAACCAAACCCACAAGAGGCAGGACAAGTACCCAAAAACCACTGGAACTGAAGAAGCATGTCATGCCTACATTGCTTGGGGGAAAAAAGCATTTAGTGATGTCCAAATGACTAACTGGAGAAGTCTTCTTATAGCATTGCAGCTGCTCAGGTGGATTGCACTCTAACTGATCTGGTTGAAAAGTCTTCTCTGTATTTTAAAGAGATCTCCGATGCACAGATGTCTTGTTTCCCTGCAGAGGACTAGTATTCAGTCCAATAATCTGATCTTCTATCCTATGTAAATATGATCAATCACAATAGCTCTGTGGATACTGAGTGCAATTTTTGGGGTTTGGACAGATAGAAAAGAATTTTTTTGAAGATAAAAACATTAACCTGTGGTACAAAAGATGAAGTTATACAAAGAATCCACATCTTCAAGAACCTGAAGAACAAGAAAAAAATCACACCTTAGCTTTTGGAGTTTGCTAAATAGAACTGAGCAATTATTTGTAACAATCTGTAATGAATGAATTTATCTTCCTTGCAAATGTGCAGGATTCTACATACAAATACTGTATCTGTATCCGCAAAAATGAGTCATGGCTCTTCACATCCATATCTATCACATTCATGGTTTTGCAGGGCTCTACTCATTAGTGGGGGCGGGGGAAGGGTAGAAGACTGCTGCAAAGCAGCCTCTGTCTGCAGTGGGTTCGAGCTCCCTGTGGACAGAGGCTGCTCCATGGAATGCCGGCACAACCTCTGTCCATGGGGAGCTTGGACCCTCTGTGGTCAGAAGCTGCTGCTACCCGGCACTACTGCCTCAGTATCAGCACAGGGCAGCAGGGGGCTCCTCGGGAGTGGAGCCAGGAGCACACTGGCTGCCAGCCTTGCCTCCGGGGACTACTGAATAGTTGTGTAACCGCTAAAAAAGTTGATGCGGTTACATGCCTACTCAATTACACACTATCGAACAGCCCTAGTGAGCAAATGTTTCAATATCAACTCCTGATGGAGGCTGGTTGAGAACAGAAGAAGCTCACAAAAATGTAAACAATTTTGAGGCAATAAGTGTTTTGACCAACTCCATCTATATCTATCAATCAGCTTATGACTGAAAAAATTAGTTTTGAAAAACTCCACAGGTTAAAAAACCCTCCTTTACCCGTAGTTGCATAAACAGTTTAGATTAAGATCATTTTCAACTTATGTTTAAGGCAATGTCATGTATTTCAGGGGAACAAGGAAAGGTGTAACTTAGATCTGTTTGACCATCAAAGAAACAGTTGTCTTAAATTTAATACATAACTGTTTTCTTTCTGCAAAATCTTAACTACATGGAACAGAAATTACATAACTGGAACTCAGCGGTTCTGGATACTTGTCCAAACTTCAGCACCAATTTACTGTTGAACACTGGGTAAAAGTCTGTCAACTTGCGGCCCAATTCACTCAGCTTCAAAAACCATTAGTGGTGTCTTTTTTCATGTTTGTAAAGCAATTTAAGATTTCAAAAGGAAAGAAAGCAAGTACTATTTTCAGACAACGGTTGCTATTCACTTTTAGCTAAAAACACCACTATCGTCCCCCAAAAAAGAACAAGAACGCAGCTGCCAGGGAGGCAAATCCAAGTTAATCAGTTAACTGGTCAAATGTTAGGTTTCTCAGCCAGAGAAGCTCTTGCCTGCAGAAGGCCCAGGGTTCTTATGTCCAGAGACTGCTTCGGATGCTAAAGGAGTCCCTGCCTGAGAGGCACTCGGGCTCCCCACAGCCTCCAGCTGTGGGGACACCTGGTCCCCCACAGCCAGGGGTTGCTGTGGATGAAAACTGCCCCTTTCCGCAGCAGGCCCTTGCCCATGGCAGGGGGAAGCTTCTCCAGTCTCCCATCAGTTACCGGTTAATCCAAGCAGGTAATCATTACCTATTTACGGTGATGCTTACTGGTTAACTAGGTAACCTTTCACATCCCTAGCCTATACTAAAATCTTTGGTTGACAAAAGTTGTCTACGCGTACAACTGCTGAAGTTAGCATATCACTTTTAAGTGTGCATACTTTATTGCTTCCCTCAATGTTGTGTGAAGTGCCCTTTACCAATACAATGCATGATGCACTATGGATTGGAATTCCACTGTGCCATGAACTACCATCTAGCATGATGCCTTTTTGGAAATTTTCACAATTTCTTGTGACATTAGTCATGCAGCGATCTCTTGGGAACTCGGGGTCAAGCTCCAAGCATGCAACATTTGCCATTTCATAATGTTATCCGCATCCCATAATTTTCACACCTTTAAAAAACCTCACAGTTCAACATGGCACTTTCTGCAGTATGCCATCTGACAAATATCAAGACTACATAGCTTTGCACTACGCTCAGGAATGCTGCAGCTACAGGACACACAATCCTCTGGTATGTGTAGACCCGCAGGAAGGAAGAAACAACAACAACAAGATTTTGTAAAGGACAGATTGCTAAGGCACACAGTAAAAGTGGGACCACAGAGCAACGGCAGACAATGGAACGCTGTTTCTGAGCCCAAAAAATGAGCACTGACAAATGGAATCATATTAACAGCATCTCTATTTATTTCAACACAGTTTGGACCTGCAGAGCTAACTACTGAAGTACCCTACCCATACATGCAAAATTCAGAGTGGACTGAAATTTAGAAACTTTTACCTTGAAGAAAAATAAACGTCCCTGTCCTCTGCAGTGAACACAGAATTCATTGTAGATTTTTGAGTGCATATATGCCTCTACTGGAAAAATGCACATTGTTAACATTATAGGCTTATTCTTCAACCCTATTCTGTTTAGTAATACTATGATGGTTTACTGAACAATCATTTATTATTTCCTCTATGTAATACTACACCCCTAAAGTTATCAGGAGCTAAGATGACCTTGATTGGAGTCGTGGGGGAAGGAGATAGTAAGTAGCAAACCAAAAGAGGACAACAACAAAATTAAACTCAATGAAATCACTATACCCCCATTACAAAACTAAGAACTGGGAAGCTTTATAAGCCTAATTGAGACCTCAAAAGTGGAAACAATTTGAGGAACTTATGCATAAAGTTGTAAGTATACACACAGTATTAGAGAAGGATGAAAGAGGACTTCTCCAACTGAATACCAAAAATCTGCTTTTAACCTAGATCAAAGAAATAATACAGACATATTAAGTGGTAGGAAAATTACAGGTGGGCATACACATGGCTAGCACTAGACCTGACTGTGCAACAGTCAGCAAGCAAGCAGTAAAGCATACAGGCTTGCAGAGTGCTCTCAACTAGGCATAACAGACTGGAAAGGAAATCAAATATTGAAAAGCATCTGAGTAAAATAAAAAAGGTACACTGGCCTAGAAAAAAAGTTAGGCAAGGCAAGAAAACATCTGAAGTGTTATCATATTTGGGAACCAATCCACAGAGTTTAATGAAGAAATTGAAAAATAAGAATAGGGCAAATAGGCAATCATATAATCCACATTTATATAGCACTGTTTACCCATGAGGATCTCCAAGTACTTCACAAACATATAGGTATAATTTTACTGAACTTTCATCATTACCCATCATTTTTCCATCAGTGAAATGATAGTGAAATATGTCAACTGTTTGAAAGCACAAAACTCAAATGGTGCATCCAAATTAAAATTAAAAACGGGCATTTTGCTAGCATATGAGGATCATCTCAAAAGTACTATGGATCTTTCATATTCACAAATGGTCACTGCCCCTTTTTTACATCTTTTATAAACAACAGAACCTCTAGCAGCACAGCACAATCTAACAGATGTGCTGGAGTAATCCTTATTCAAAGGGAAGAGAGCCACCTTCTAAACATTAATTTTATTCAAAAGCTTCAGAGGGGTAGCCGAGTTAGACTAACAGGAAAAAACTTAAACAATAGTCTAGTATCACCTTAAAGGCTAACAAAACATGTAGATGGTGGTATGAGCTTCTGTGGGCAAAACCCACTTCTTCAGATGACAAGAGTGTTGGAAATTGACATAGCATATATTGCAGTAGCGGGCAACCTGCAGCCCACTGGAGTTCTATGTGTGGCTCATGCACCTCCCCTTTTGCTCCCTCCCCCTCCCCCGTGCCTGTGTCACAGTAGGGGGCCCTGCACTTACCTATGCTTTCCCCTTCCCTTCCCAGCACTTCCGGAGCTCTGTCAATCAGTCAATTTATGATGCTCTGGATGTGCTGGGAGAGAGGGGAAGCAATGGGGAGGAGACGTGCTCTTGGGAAGAGGCAGGAAAGAGCCTGGTCTGAGTTTGAGGGAAGGGGTGGTATGAAGGCAGGGGCTACAACAGAGAGGAGGGTCAAGTAGCCCTTGGCAAAATGAGAAGTGATGCACATTTAAAGCAAGGGCATGTATGAGGTGCATGCTGACTGCATACAACATTGTAAGAACCGTGTACTCCCTGCACTTTATGCTACTTTTGCTACGATAAAAATTCCCCCAATAATGGATCACTGTGTTGAAAAGGCATGATAAAGGAGAATCAAGTGTAATGTATTTAATTTTCTCCTCAGGGTCATGGATAGTGCACATGCCTGATTTCAATCTTGCAGTCCACAGAGAGCACGCTACTCATGAAGTCACTCACTAGCCTTGGTTATCCATCGCTGATATATTGACATAAAACAATTAAGCATCAACATTCCAAATCTTGCTTCATTTATGAAATCAGACGGAGTCACAACCTAATATGGTAATGATGTTGAAAGGTCTCAGAAAACTAAGGTTATGTTAATTAGACAAAGAAGATTAAGAGGATATGATTGAAGTATACAGAGAATGAAGATGTCATAAGACTGTCCTGCTAAAAAAACCGAAACAAAATACATAACCATATGGGAAGTTAGTTAAAGGATTTACAGAAGTGCCCGAGGGTAATAAGGAGAACTAACTTCTAAGGGCCATATAGAAGATGTCATCAGATATATTTAGTGAGTTAGAGTGATGTGTGGGGTCTTCCAAAGCCAAAACCAGCAAGTGTCAACAGGCTAAAATCCTTGTGAATGTTCTGAAAACTGACAGTAGTGTGCTTGTTTTTGAGGATTACAATACTAGGTAAAGTAGGTGAAACATTTTGCAAGGAGAAAATAAAGACAAAGGGAAGAATGCGTCAAAAATCATGAAGTGTAACATATAGAATGCTTACAAATCTCTGAAGAGATCCCAAGAGCATTTTTCAGCACGACTGAAAGAATAGGTAGTCTCTGGGATAACATTAGTTCTGTTAATCTTAAGATCTCACACAAACTAACCTTTTTCTTTAGATTTCCTGTCTTGTTCTCGATCTCTGCTTTTGCTTCTGTGCTTGTAGGATTTCCGATCCCGACTTTTTGATCGTCTCCTGTCCCGACTGCGAGACCTATGTTTTCTCTCTGACCTATCATGACTTCTGCTTCTTCGTCGATCTCGACTCCTTACATTTAGTAGTTGAAAGAGAAAATATCAGCTGATGTTTACAATTCCAAATACAATTTTTTTATTAGTTTGCCACTAGAATATCACTTTCTCCTAATGTTGACTTTTAAGAAAAGGTTAAATATTTAAGTGGAATACCAACTCATTCTTATAAACTCTCTCCATCTAGGAACATTTGTCAATACCAAGGAATGTCAACATATAGACAACAGCCCAGATGGTGATAGTGGAGGGGGAAGAGGCAGGAGCCGGTACATGCAGGGAGATGGTTCTCAACAGCCTCCCGGGTGTACTGGCTCCCACAGAGTTGCCCTCCCTTCCCCCAGCTGCCTTCATCAAGGGCAGCAGAGGAGGAGCAAATACACATGGGGAGCTGGCTTTTAAACTGGCTCTCTGCAGAACTGCCTGTCTCCCCACTTGCTGCTTCCCAAAGAGGCAACAGGGAGTGGTATTGAGGGGGAGGGGACGAGAAGGAGGAGGGGGACCGAGGAGGCTGCTACAGATTAGCCTCTGTCTATGGCGGGCCCAGGCTGGCTGCGGACAGAGGCTGCTCTGTGGATGCCAGCGAAGCCTCTGTCCACAAGGAGCTTGGCTCCCCCATGGCCAGGGGCTGCTGCCATGGAGTAGCCTCTATCTGCCACAGGCACAGGCTTGTCATGGACAGAGGCTGTTCTGTGGCATGCTGCCACAGCCTCTGTTCGTGGGGAGCTTGAGTACCCTGCGGACAGGGGCTGCTGCCTGTGTATTAGAGGCGGCAGTAGGGGGCTCCCTGGAAGTGGAGCAGGGAGCAAACTGGCTGCCCATCCCACCTCTGGGGACTATTGAATAATTGTGTAACAGCTAAAATTTGATGTGGTTACACAGCTATCCAATTATACACTATTTAACATCCCTAGTTAATACTTAACCTCTCTGTCCACCCTTCTCTTCTCTACCTTCTTCACTTAAACAGCCATATGCACACATTACTAAAGAAAAGCTTTAATATGGATTTTTAAACCAGAGCTTTAAAAAAAAATACTTAAACGTTATGATGGAAGCATGTGTCAACTATCATGCTTAAAATCATCAACATATATAAAAATCAGTGTTTTCATCAATTTACAATATGAAGGTGAGTTTTAATACACAGTAGTTTCTCTTTTGATTCATCCTTTGACACAAAAACTGTCCACCTTTGGAGAAGTTATATTGGATTTGATAGACAGAACAGCTTGATCCATAATGACAACTCCTAGAGCTTCCTCTGATTCCATATTTTTAGATCAACTGTCAAAAGATGTGTTCTGTTCACTGGTTCTGACTCTCTTACTGTTTAACTTTTAGAGTACAAAATTAGGTTATTAATAAAGTCTGTATTTGGTGTTGGACGTGAATTATAATATATTCTAAATTAGACTGTATTGATACAGTACAAAAACAGAACAGATATAGAAAATATACAAATATAGAAAAACAAAGTGTTTTCATAAATAAGGCTACATATTTTGCCTTTATACCACTAAAAAGTGGCAAAACTTTAGCTGTGTCTACACGTAAGTGACATGTAAACTACACCTGTTGCACACCAAGTAGCATGGGTATAAATTAGAGAGTTAAGTATGGCTGATTTGAATACAGCACCTACACACCTGAACCTGGGGGATACACTACACATGGTGGCCCTCTCCATGCGCAATAATGTCTCCTGAATCTAGACTCTAATTTTTAGCAGTGTAGTGTCTCACTGCTGTAGCCTCTCTCTGCCACAGCAAAAGGTTTTCATCAGAGGTAGGCAGTGAAGAAAAGATTCAGCAGCTACCTGCTGCATGATGTGTAGTGCCTGTAATCTTCACACTACCATAAGTGTACACAAGGTCTTTGTTGCATCAGTAGGCCAAATCTTACTACAGTAAAACTCCAATTGTCCAGCATCCAGTGGTCTGGCACTCCCAATAGTCCAGCAGCAACTGGAACCCGGAAGTGCACCTGTCAGCTTCTCTCACAGCTCTGTGCTGTGAGCCGCATGTGCGCTCCCGGCCCAAGCCATTCTGTTCACGGTCCACAGTGCACACATCATCCAGCTTGTACCTGCTAGCAGCCAGCTGCTGAGCACAGGCAGCTGCCTTGGAACCCAAACATAAGGTTGGGTGAGAAGGGGGACTGGATTACAGCAAGGATGGAATATGTTTGGCTCTGGCGAAGGGGAGGGAAGAGGAAGGAAGGGCGATTGGGTTGGGAGTATGCCCCCTTATGGTACCTCCCGGTACTCCGCTGCTGAAACGGACCAGCGGCGGACTTGGGAAAGCCCTGGGGCAGAGCAGCTGGGGTGCTGCCAGGTTGGCCCCACAGCACTGCCCCTCACCTGAGATGGGAGTCCAAGACAGCTATAACCCCACTGGGCCAGCAAGGGACAGCTATTTAATTTATTTATATATATATATATATATTTTTTTTCAGATAATTTGTCTGTTTTAAGGGCTCAGTATCCCCGCCCCCCCCCACCTTTGTCCCACTTTTCCTCCTCCCTATACCAAGGGTTCTATATGCCCGTTACCCACACTGATCTTATTGCTTAATATGGGGAAATACCTAGAACATGCCCTGAATTTTTGGATTTAACTGGATGTGGTATTCAAAAGTGGTCAAACAGCAAGAAAGAGAAATGCAACTGAGTTAACATAGAACCCTTCACTTGATTGGCCAACAAAACTCTTGACAGTAACCATTCCTTTACACTGGTACAGATGCCTGAAATCATACAGTTTAGAGTTTCTCACATGCATGGAATACAACTATAAATTCACATAAAAAGCCAATGGCTCCTAATTAAGTTACCTGCTTCGCCTTCTTTCTCTGCTTCTTGATCTTTTGTGGTCCCGTGACCGGCTGCATCTTCTGTCAGAAGTTCTGCTTGAATGTCTGCTACGGGAACGACTCCTCTTACGTCTTTCTCTGTCACGAGCCCTCTCTTTTTCCTTTTCTTCTTCCTCACGCCGTCTCTTCCTTTCCCTCTCTTCTCTTTCACGCTCCCTTTCTTTTTCTCTCTCTTCTCGCTCTTGTTTCTCTTTTTTTAACTTGTCATCACGTTCAGGTTCTTCAGTTCTTTTTCTTAACTTTTCCTTACAAAAAGAAGTGTTCACAGTAAGGATTTAATTAGGATGATTTTTGTTTCAGAAGACACTATTAGTTAATCCTAATTTATGATACAAAATGGTGAGGAGGTATATTAGGTATGAATGAACTACACTAAATTGCCAAAAAATAATCCATTTAAAAGTGTTTGGAGGTCGGGTGGACAAGTCCTTTGATCATCAAGGTAGATCGTTCACCTAGGAAGTACCTAAAATTTAAAACGAATTTAACACGAAAAGAGACTTGGGATCCACAAAGACTCAGGATTTGTAGAAGAGATAAAAGTTGTAGAATAAATATTATTTTGTCGTTTTGGCAAGAGAAACTTTAAGACCTACCTTTAAGAAAAGTAGTAATCTTCAAAGGAATTTATAACGACATCTATTAAAGTATTAAAGTTATTTTTATTAAGGTAGGTGTATAAATTTGAGAGTATGTCTGTTCAAGAACTCCTCCTAAATGGTATAAAAAATTTGGTATACATCTTCCTCTTGGCATAACTTAAATTAAGGTAAGGATCTGGTTGTGCCAAGAAAATGGGATGTGCCTGGAATGGGACTGATTCTCATAAAACCATGCAGAAGACAGACAGAATTGCCGGGAAGGTGAAAGGAGCTGGCTGGGTACATGCCTCAACCTGCCCTGGACTGCCCCCGCCCTGAGCCTCCCACCTCCCAGTCACCCCCAGATTCATACAGGAACATTGCTGGCAGTCTGCCCCAGCCAGGGGACATATATCCCTCCCCCACCTATGACTGCTTCAGCTGCAGAAACCATGGAGAGGCACTTCTTACCTGGCCCCAACTGATGTGGTGAGAAAGGGCTGGGGTAGTTGTCTGTCCTTGGGGCAGCCGGCATACTGAATTCCTTATCCCAAGCCCCACCTCAGAACAATGATTCAAATGAACCATGTTCATTTTTATTATTTTCTTATCCAAAATACAAGAATTAAACTGAGTTAAGGACCTGAGCAACACCAGGTAAATTTTCTAGTAGAGGCTGAACCTTTCTAGTCTGGCACCCTTGGCACCTGATAGGTGCTGAACCAGAGAAGGTCAATATTATTGTGAGTGGGTCTCTGTTTTCATTCACTGAGCTGAACACATGGAACAGCACTTGCAATACTGCTTAATAATGTATGACTATTGATATACCCTATAAGCGCCTACACCTAGCCAAGGTTTATCAGCTCTTCATAAAGAATTAATGTTCTCATAGACTCATAGACTTTAAGGTCAGAAGGGACCATTATGATCATCTAGTCTGACCCCCTGCACAGCGCAGGCCACAGAATCTCGCCCACCCCTCTTAGAATAATCCTCTCACCTATGTCTCAGATATTGAAGCCTTCAAATACTTTGAAGGCCCCAACATGCAGAGAGTCCTCCAGCTGTGATCTGTGCCCAATGCTACAGAGGAAGGCGAAAAACCTCCAGGGCCTCTGCCAATCTACCCTGGAGGAAAATTCCTTCCTGACCCCAAATATGGCGATCAGCTAAACCCTGAGCATGTGGGTAAGACTCACCAGCCAGACACCCAGAAATGGCTCCATGGAACCACTGCTGTACATGCCAGCTGCTTTCAGGAGTGGTACAGGGCCAGGGCAGGGGTAACCCTGACTAAACCCTGCTGCTCCACCACCTGGAAGGTGTCTCGGTTAAGTGTCCAGCCAGAGCCTACTTTCTGAATCCCTGGTCCCAGCTCTGACCCTCCTCTTGCACCCAACCTCCTGCCCCAGATATGAGTCCCCCTGCATCCAAACTCCTTCCCAGAGCTTGCACCCTGAAACCCCTCCTGCACCCCAATCTCCCACTCTGAGCTAAGCCCAGAACCCCTCCCACACTTGGCCCAAGACTAGAGCCTGCACTCCAGCCCCCTACCCCAGCCTGGTGAGTGAGGGCGGGGGAAGGAAGGGAAATGGCGCTAGCAGTGTGATGCCCCAAAGAAGGGGCAGGAAGGAAGTGGGGCAAGGGTATTTGGGCTTGAAGTAGATCTTACATTGCACTTAAATTGAAAAAGCGATCTTGTAGTTAAAAAAGTTGGAGACCACTGAGTTAAAACAAAAACCATGCCTATGCTTAGCAGCATTACAAACACTGACACTGTTTGCTGGGTTTTTAGAAAACATTTAAGGATAAATTAGAGCTAAACAATAGCACAGAACACTAGTCAATGCTCGATTGCCAAAACATGGATGATGAGTTTATATATGTAAGCATTCCGCTAACGATTTGGTTCTTAAATGGTTTAAGTTTACCTTTAATTACACAGGTTATACTCACTTTTAATTCTTCTACAGTAGCTTTAATTTTGGCATAACCCATGTGCTGTTTTCCCATCAAGTGGTCATCTACTCTGGACTGTGCATCTCCTACTATTAAAAAGGCTCCACAGACTTCACAAACTTCCATTTGCTTTTCCTGAGCGGCAAAGCTCTCAATTGTCTGGAAGAGAAGGTAGTGATTATAACAAAGAACAGAAAAGTTTTAAACTGGAGCCAGTTATTTTATCAACTGTTCTTTTAAGATCGTGAAATTATGAATTTCAGTCTTAAAAAGGAGACTTCCAGTACTTGATTTAGTTTGGCACAAATATGAAATAGCCTACATGTTATACCGAATATGAAAAATAAGTCAAAAGAACACAAACTCCGAGAGATAGCATGTTTAATTTTGCAAGCTTAATGCTTTGTGCAGATTAAAAGCAGTTTACACCTTACAATAAGTACTTAATTGTGAAACTTGGAAAATATTTATTTTCTTACTGCATATTATATGCTTCTAGAGCAGTGGTCCCCAACGTTTTGGGGCTGCCGGGCGCCTGGGGGCAGGGCCGCTCACACACTGCACATATGGGGGCGGGGCCACTCACCGGCCACGTGACTGGGGGTGGGGCCAAGCATGTGCCGCATGCCCAAGGTCAGCACCGGCATGTGCTGTGATCCCGGGCAGGGGCTGCCCAGGTTCCGCGCGGCGCCCCCGGGGCTGGGGCCGGGGCCAGGTTTTGGGGCTGCCGGGCGCCTGGGGGCAGGGCCGCTCACACACTGCACATATGGGGGCGGGGCCACTCACCGGCCACGTGACTGGGGGTGGGGCCAAGCATGTGCCGCATGCCCAAGGTCAGCACCGGCATGTGCTGTGATCCCGGGCAGGGGCTGCCCAGGTTCCGCGCGGCGCCCCCGGGGCTGGGGCCGGGGCCAGCGCCAGGGCCGGCAAGGGCACACACGGCACCCCCGGGGGCAGGGCCAGGGCCGGCAAGGGCACGCACAGTGTACAGAGAGGCCGTGCGAACTCATATCAGCTCTGCTGCAAAACAGTGGTGGTGAGGCAGGGA